CCGAGGAGTAGTCCTGCATTCTTGCACAGGTAAATATAAAGAACTACGTACCACGGAGCCATCCACGCTTTTACAATAATGATTTCGGAGCTATTTACATCCTGAGGTCACTATCGAGATTTCCCTGACTCCACCTACTGTGGCTCTGGATGTACGGGACTCTCACATGCCCGATCATCCACCCTCCCCCTCAGCGGCTGGACAGGCCCTCTGCCATTTCTTCATCTTGTCCGGCACCTTTACTTGCAAAAAAAAGCCAAATGTTCCTTCGAAGGCGGAAAAGTAAAGGAAGCAGCCTAAGGGGGAGGCCCTTTCCACTGAAAAGCTGCAAACCAAACACACACCGCCCGCCCGCCCCCTTCTTGCGCAGACAAGGATTCAAGAAGACCTGCAAAAAGGAGGCGCGGTATAAACACAACCCGGGTCAGGGGAGCCTCCCCCACCACGGGGAAAAACACGCGTGTCTCTATCACGCTTCTTGACCACAAGCCATTGAGCACAGCGGGTTCAGTGGCCCGGCGGCCTCGTTATTATCCGCCGATGGTCTATCCGGACATCTTGCGCTGTGTTTCATTTCCAGACCCCCCAAGAGAGCGACCGAGGAAGAAACGTGACATGTCAGCGACACTCCTCCGCCCCTTCCCCGGGCGCGGAAAGCACGACGGAGAGGCGGGGAGGCTCAAACGACCGCGAAGGCCATGCTTTGCTCGCCCGGCGCCAGGAGGCCGCACAGGAAGCCGCGCAGAGCGAACCGCCGCTCCAACCACCCCTCCCCACCCTCGTCTGCCCGCCGACGACGCTCGGCCAGGACCCCCCACCTCCCTCGAGCTCCGCCGGCTGTGGCGTTCACGCGTCAACCTGCGCCGTGACGTCACCTAGCAACGGCGCTTCAGCCGCTCTACGCGCTGACGTCCCCCAGCACGGCGGAGGAATGAGAAAGAACCCGGAACACAGAGCTACAAAGAGAAGGACGCTCGGCCAGGACCCCCCACCTCCCTCGAGCTCCGCCGGCTGTGGCGTTCACGCGTCAACCTGCGCCGTGACGTCACCTAGCAACGGCGCTTCAGCCGCTCTACGCGCTGACGTCCCCCAGCACGGCGGAGGAATGAGAAAGAACCCGGAACACAGAGCTACAAAGAGAAGAGCACCTCTACATTTTATTATTACAGTATTATTATTAGTATTATTACAGTATTATTATTATTATTGCATAGGCAATTCCTAGGATGCCACTTAAAAAAACTGAATATTCTTCCGAGTCGTAGCTGCGTGCAGAATGGACGGAATCCCATAAAAAGGTCACGTTGACACGCAGGAATCGAACAAATTCTACAGATTGTCAATTAATGCTTAAAACTCCGTTGCCCGCCACTGGGTTTTTTAATCGTGTGAAACCTTTGCTTTTTAGTTTATTGTTTTGTTAAGCAGTATGCTTGTGCAGCTTCCCAGTGCAAACACCACTCATCTCCATATTTTGGGTTAGATGAGGCAAAAAGACCCTGCTGCTTATGATGCTTCGACTGATACATGCTTTAAAACCCTTGTCATATGTCTTTGATCAAAGAAAGGAAACAAAGATAGAAGATGAATATGTATTGTCATCCCTTCCCTGGACTGTTTAGTATCCCAAGTAGAAAAGGCTCCCGTTATCAGCTGGAGAGTGAGGTCAGGAGGTGGTCTGAGAAAGATACTGTGCCCTGGAAGTCCTTGTATATATCTTTTGGGGTTTCTTCATTAATGTTGTGGTTTGAGTCACATCTTCTCAGCTCTATTAAGTTTAGCGGGGCTTGGTCCCAGCAAAGTAAGTTTGCAACATAAACCACATGATCTGGTCCACTGAAATGCAGTATTAGCTGCTTTCTCAGAGGCTGGCCCCATACTGTGCAATCCTGGGCAACACCTATCATCAGTGGTTCCCAACCTTGGATGCCCAGGTGTTCTTGGACTACAACTAACAGAAGCCTTCCCCCCTAGGATTTCTAGAAGTTATCATCCAAGAACATCTGGGGGAGGGAGATTGAAAACCACTGTTCTAGATGCTTGAGTAAATATAACCTCTTTAAGTCTTTTGTTATTGTAAAATTATGTATTGATTTTGTATATACTGTATTTTCACAACTCATGTGCATACACATTTAAATTCTTGTCAGACAAGACTCAGTTGTATCTCCCTATCTATTCACAAAACATATATGAAAATCTTGAATAGATGCAGATGGAGGAATGAAAATTGGTAGAAGAAACTTCAATAATTTAAAATATGACACCATATTACTAGCAGAAAACAATAGTGACTTGAAATTCCTCTGATGAAGGTGAGAAGAAAGTGCAAAACTGAAATACAACTGAACATTAAAAAAACAAAAATCATGACTGCAGATGAAATACATAGCTTTATTGTTAACAGTAAAGAAATTGAAATTGCTGAAGATTTTGTATACCTTGCTTCAGTCATCAAACCAAATGGAGACTGCAACTAAAAAATCGGAAAAAGACTAAGACTTTGGAGGGCAACTGTGAAGAACTGAGAAAAAAATAATCAAGTGCCCCTGGAGACCAAAGCCAAGATCATCAATACAATTGTATTTCTATTTACTATGTATAGATGTGAAAACTGAACATTAAAAAAAGCCAACAGCACTAATTCTTTCAAAATAGGGCTTTTGGAGGAGAGCTTTGCAGGTACCCTGGACCAACAGAAAGACAAACAAGCATGTCCTAGCTGAAATCAAGCATGGACGTTCAGAGGGTGTCATGCTTTGGGCACATCATGAGAAGACTTATTGGAAATGACAGTAGGACTAAGAGAAGTTGAAGTCAGCAAGAAAAAAAAAGATCAAGTATGAAGTGGATTGACTTCATGAAGGAAGCAATAGACCTGAGTTTGCAAAAACTGAGCTGGACTATTGATGTTAGATCATTTTAGAAGTAGGTCATTCATTCATAGGGTGACCGTAAGAGGAAACTTGACAACACAAAACAAACTTTGGTGAAATATATCTGTGAGGAGTCTCAGTCATTCCAGAGGTTATCTGGAAGTTGAGTCATAGCAACTTCCAGGGGGAAGTGAAACCAAGGTGGAGGAGGTAACTGGGTCTCCTACCAACTCTCCTCAGACTGAAGAAGCTGCTTTGATGAGTAGTGAAATGTTTCAACCTGATAAGAAAGAAGTGCAGTTGCCATGACTCAACTTCCAGAAAAACTTCTGTGAATCAAATTCTACTTCTTCAGACAGGAGTGCACATACATGTCTTCTACATTTATGCATATAGCTATATATATATATATGCCACGAAATTAAAAAAACACCTGCTTCTTGGGAGTAAAGCGATGACAAACCTTGACAGCATCCTAAAAAGCAGCGAAATCACCTTGCCAACAAAAGTCTGCATAGTCAAAGCTACGGTTTTCCCTGTAGTGATGTATGGAAGTGAGAGCTGGACCATAAAGAAAACTGACTGCTGAAGAATTGATGCTTTTGAATTGAAGTGCTGGAGGAGGCTCTTGAGAGTCCCCTGGACTGCAAGGAGAACAAACCTATCAATTCTAAAGGAAATCAACCCTGAGTGCTCACTGGAAGGACAGATCCTGAAGCTGAGGCTCCAATACTTTGCCATCGCATGAGAAGAGAAGACTCCTTGGAAAAGACCTTGATGTTAGGAAAGTGTGAAGGCAAGAGGGGAAGGGGCCG